TTCTGTTGGCAGAGGAAATCTCAAAACAGCCTAGTTTAGACTCTGATGTGCAGTTATTAGTGGTAACTTGACTGAAGATTTATAATGAAAAGGAGCAAGCTGAGCAGGGTAAATTACAAAATGTAAAATTTAAGGAGAAAAGGAGCATCAGGAAATGGAGTGGAGCTAAGTACTGTGTTTAGGGAGATAAACAGATTAAGAAATAGAATAAATGGAGTGGTGACCTCAGGGCAAGATCCCATCCTGCTAAATTTCCAACTTGTAAAGAGGAATTAAAGAAAAGCTTAGAGCCAGGTGTGGTGGTGCATGCCTTTAATCTCAGCACTCCAAAGGCAGAGGCTGGAGGATCTCTGAGTTTGAGGCCAACTTGGTCTACAGAGCAAGTTCAAGGATAGCCAAGCTCAGTCAGTGAAGGTAACCATGAAAAATAGAAAGCTAGTGATGATGTAATTAAACAGGGGGGGGGGGGTATGTTCCAGCCCCAGCAAGCAGCAGAACTTGGAAGCTTCAGCCACATGGTTCTGACTTTTGAGTCAAGGATTGACCAAGGAAAGCTGCTGAGGCCAGGCCTGTATCAGAAGTGTCCCTGAATACAGGCCTAGAGAGGCCATTGTGTGAAACTGTGACATTGAAACCTGCATTGTGTTGGAGAACTCAAGATGTTGGAGATGCCAGGATGATGGGATACTTGCTGAGGAAAGCTGCTAACAGGGAGTAGAACCAGTCCTACAGTAAACAAAGCTGAAAGGAGTTGGAGATCTAAAGAGTGCTTTGACGTCAGACATGGAGATGCAGAGTTTGATGTTTGCTCTACTGGTTTTCGGTCTTGCTTTGATCCAGTATTTTCTCCCTAAGCTCCCTTCCCTAAGTTTTGGAATAGTAATGTATATCCTGTGCCATTATATGTTGGAAGTATGTGATCTGCTTTTTTGATTTTACAAGAGATTACAGTTAAGAGATTGAAAGAATCTCAGAAGAGACTTTGAACTTTAGACTTTTAAATAAGTTTGAGACTATTATAGACTATGGGTTTTTGTAGTGGGACTGAATGCATTTTTGCACTATGATATCATTCAAGCCTTTGGGGGTCAGGGAGTAGAACATGGTGGTTTGAAAGAAAATGCCCTCCAAAGGGAGTGGCACTAATGGGAGGTGTGGCCTTGTGGAAGTAGGTGTGGCCTTGTTGGAAGAAGTGTGTCACTGTGGAGGTGGGATTTGAAGATTCCTTTATGCTCAAGCCATACCCAGTAAGTCAGTCTATTTCCTGTTGCCTGTATATAAATATATAAAACTCTCAGCTCCTTCTCCAGCACTGTCTGCCTGCATGCTGCCATGTCCCACCGTGATGATAATGGACTGAACCTCTGAACTGTAAGTGAGCCACCAGAATTAAATGTTTTCTTTTATAAGAATTGCCCTGGTCATGGTGTCTCATCACAGCAATAGAAACACTAAGTATGACATACACTGAATATAACAATGATATTCTCAGCAATGTTGTATGCACTGATTCCTGTAAGCCAGAGAAGACTATAATATGAAATGCACAGTACTGGTAGTGGCTTTCTAATACTCAGAATGAGGTAGGACAAACTCTGAAACTCTGAAGGAAATGCCATAGTGAAGAGTATGGTCTTTGGGGTTACTTTTGGGTATGAGAACCCACAAAACTGAACACTGCTTTATCTGTGTGATTTCTAAGGAAATGGAGTGTTTTAGAATAGCAAGGTTTGTTAATATACATACTGTAGAAACAGACTACTGGGGCCAGTTCTGGTTATGCCAATTGCTAGTTGGACAACATTGGTCTTTCTGTATCTCTCTGAGTAGTTCTCATGTCTTATTTATGTTAAGTGTTTTCATTACTCATCTGATGCTTCTGTCTCCTTATCTAGTAAAAATTGTATAAAGGTGTTATAGAAAGGATAACTTAGCATAGGATCTGTTTTTGCTTTTTAGTTTATCATTGGAGGCTTATTGTAGTTGATATATTTCATTTTCCAAAACTATAAGTATATATATATATATATATATATATATATATATATATATATATATATATATATATACCTATCTGTGTCCAAAAATCCTTACATCAGTCATGAGATGTAAGTAACATGATTTAAAACCTCATGCCCAGGGCTTGGATGTAACTCAGTGACACTCTCCTAACAGATATGAGGTGTTGAGTTCAGTCTCTAGGACCGTGCTGGATAGTTTTATGTCAACTTAACACATGCTAAAGTCATCTGAGATGAAGGAATTTCAATTAAGAATATGCCTCCACAAGATCAGGTTGTAGGCAAGCCTACAAGGTATTTTCGCAATTAGTGATACCTAGTGGGGAGAGCGCAGCTCATGGTGAGTGGTGCTATGCCTGGTCCTGGGTTCTATAAGAAAGCAGTCTGAGCACACCATGGAAGCAAGCCAGTAAGTTGAACTCCTCCATGGCCTCTGCATCAGCTCCTGCCTCCAAGTTCCAACCCTGCTTGAGTTCCTGTCCTGATTTCAGTAATGGACTATGATATGGAAATGTAAGCCAAATAAGCCCTTCCTTCCTAACCTGCTTTTGGTCATGATGCTTCATCTTAGCAATAGAAACTCTAACCAACACAGGTACTGTAAAAAATAAAACAAAACAGCACATAAGGAATATATTTAAAAAGCAAGTGAAATAATATGTGTAACATTCTACAATTATATATTCCTGCAAGGTATCGAGTAGGTACATACTTAGCTGTTCACATTTAAATGATTGGCATAAAGTAACATACAAGATAAATTTCTTCTGTCTCATTAGTTATATTTCATATACTAGATAGCAAGATGTGTGTGGTGGCTGATGCACTGAGCAACTCAAATATAGAACATTATGAAAGTCCACACTGGACAGTGTAATTGTTTTTTTTGGACAGGGTAATTTTATAAAATACATATATTAAATGATTCAATCACTTGCCTTTTGAAGAAAATTATGAGCATTTTGCATAACGAATGCAATTTTCTAGGTAGATTCCATTTGAATTTATAAATAGACTTCTCCAACTCCTAAGAATTTCCCCTTAGCTTGTTTTCTTCTTCTCAGTGCTAAGCTTCACCACGATTACCCTACAAATCCAATTTGCTTCTCCCTGGATCAGTGAGCTAGAACATCTCCTGGCCCAACTATTTGGGAGTCACCATATGCTCTCACTCTCCTAAGCATATAACTAATGATGCCACATATCCCAGCAGCCCTCTAATGTCAGACTCACAGGGTGCTTGAGGATTTGAAGGTCTTTAGAACCACACAGAGCCAGTTTCCTGAGCTTCTGTGCATTCCAAATTCTGAGACAGTAGACTACACTCATCATCTCTGACACACACTCCTTAATCCCTGCCTTCCTGGCACTGAAAGTATTGGGCATTTAGCAAACTGATGCTCAGAAAGAGTCAGCAACTAGATGTTTATCTAGTGAGTGTCAGAGCCAGAATTCATATGACGGTTGGCCAGGCTTTCCATCTTTGCAGGACATAAGAAAAGCATCTTTGTCCCCAGCATCTCAAGGACAGAATCCCAGTTAAATGGAGAAGATACAAGCAGTGTTCCCCAGTGAAGACCACTTGGATATTTTGCATGGGTATTGATTGATCACCATCAGAGTCAATACTTTGAAGTCATTTGTGTAATCACAATTTGGCTGGGCCTTTAAAAAACATTCAGCCTTATATAAATTGTGGTATCAGGGCATTTCTAGTTTTGACAGAGTTTCTGTGAGATTTAAATATGTTACTTGTATGTTTAGAAACACTTAAAGGCAATTAGATGTAGATAACAGGTTACCTAGTGGAGAGAAAAGAAAAGGCAGATTGATACATGGTGGGTAGTGATTACAATGTTAACATTCTCTCTTTATTTGTTTTTATTTGTATTCAAATAAGTGACTTTTATGTGGACAAGGACAAGAAGGAAGCTCGACTGTATTAAATTATCCTTAGAAGAAAATTTGATTGGAAAAACATTAGCAAATTGCAGTTCCTCAGAACTACCTTGCAGAGCTTAGAAGTTTTTAAAATATGCATTGGAAACATTCCACAGATTAGAATGGAAGATTATTTTTTTTCAAGAATGTGCTCCCACCATTGTCACACCAGTTCCTATTAGCAATTAGCAATGTCACCTGAAGATGGAGGAACAGGATCAGAAAAAAAACAAAAACAAAAAACAAAAAACAAAAACGATCATCAGTGAGGAAGTTAATGAAGCAGATCAGGGTACTGATCACCAGACTGGATCCTATAGGTAAAATGTAAACTTGATGGACTGGAGAATAAAGATCTACTCTCTAAATCAAGCTTGTCTTTGTGTAGTAGAAATATACAAGACACATATAGAAAGTTTATTGGTACAGATCATTATGAATACATGATCCTTTAAAAATTATCAGGGAGTGGGAATCAGTGGTATTCTTTAAAAAAATTTTTTTTGTACAATATATTGTAATTATATTCTTCCCCCCCACTCCAACTCTTCCCAGATGCTCTTCTCATCCCTACCCACCCAATTTGGTGCTCTTTCTCCCCTTTCTCTGTCTCCCTCGGTCTCTCGCTGTCTCTCAAACAAAATATGAAAATCAATGAAGTGACCTAAAAATAAATGTGATATAGGGGCTGGGAAGACAACTCGGTCTATTAAATGCTTCTCTTGCCAGCACAAGGGCCTGAGATTCATCCTCCAGGAATGGTGGTGCACATTTGTAATCCCAGCACTGGGGAAATGGAGATAAGTGAGTGGATCCCTGGGACTGACTGAGCAGAAAGTAGCCTAACCCATTGGCAAGTTCCAGGTCAGTGAGAGACCCGGTCTTAAGAGAAAAAGGTGGATAGTGCTGGATGAATAGTATCCAAGGCCGACCTCTGGTTTCCACATGCACATACATACATATATACCAACATATATATGTGTATTCACACACGTGAATATGTGTGTGTTTCTGGGAACACACACACACACACACACACACACACACACACACACACACACACACACACAGTGACTGAACACCAAGTCCAGAGACTCACTGAAGCAATTTCAAAGTGTAAAGCATTCCGCTCACCTTTTTCCACCCCCAGAGCGTTCATCACCTGCATGGCCTGAACGGAAAAGAAGGTCTCTTAGCCCAGGGCTCTCAGCTTATGGATGGATGACTCATTATGTCTTTTCAATTTGTCAGTCAATGAAAACCAGAGCTCTAAAGTTTCTGTCCAGGACTTTCCTTAGGGAAACTATTAAGAAGAATGTGGCCTTGCCAGACGTTTCTGTCCAGCTGTCCAAACTGGCATGTTCAAGGGCATCTGCTTACACTCAAGACCTGGCATGAGGAGAGGGTCCAGGGAGGGTACTCAGGGAGGATTTCCTACCATTTGACATGGACAGCAGTAGGAGAGAAAAAGACTAGGGAAACCACAGTGAGTACCTTCAAACACAAACAGATGAAAAGCTGTGAACTTTCCTATTGCAGTAGAGTCTGGGCTCATTCTTGGGTCTACTGAGTTACATATAGCATAACAGAAAACACATTACATCTAAGAGCAAAAACCAAAACAAAACAAAACTTGGAGTCTTATTTCCAACGTGCACCTTAGTATACATACTTCACATTTCTAATCTCTCCATCATGCAATTCCCTCACTTGGAAAATAGCAAAAGCAAAAGTGATCTCACCCATCACCCATAGTTAGCTAAAAATCACAGGAAGGCACTTTGCAAGTCATTGCAAAAAATGCCAGGTAATAATTCCTTTTATTATGAAATACTTATTTCTAACCACAAACCTCTTCCCCACAATCCAAGCTTATGCTTCCAGCTATCTTTTCCTCCTGTCTTCCCAAGTGTCTGGTAGGTGGGACGAGCTATCTGTCTGGCCTTCCCAGCTGTGCCTGGTATGACCAGAGAATTTGGCCTATCGGTCCCAGGTGCAGAAGTCTCTTCCAGGTTGCTGATCACAGTCTTTATGTGAAATTTCTAACTAAACTATCTGTCTGGCCATCAAGCAACGTTTATAAAAGGAGCAAATTAAAATTCTTGTTCCCAAACTTGCTCTCCTAATTCCCCTTTTCTCTCAGAGATGGTAGTGTCACGGGAGGTCACGGTGACACCTCTGACATTTCATCACCCCCCTTTTCTTTATTAATTGCTATTTATTTCCTTCTTACACCCAGTATCCCCCAAACCAGGCTTGAAGCTAGTTTAGACATGGGATCTAGAAGAACTTGCTTCTCCAGACTGGTGGCTGGTGTTCTCATCGGCGAAGAGAGAATATGTGATTTCCAGACTTCTCCCCCATGAGAATTAAATAAGATTGTGCTTAAATAAGTGCCTGGTACATATTAATTTAGTTCCATCTTTCAGCTAAGTCGGTTGCCTCACTGATGTCCAATAATGGACAGTCCTTCCCATCACTATCCCCATATCTTCACCTCTGTTCTCTCCTCACTCCTGTGCTTCTGCCTATCAAATCACATGCAACCTTTACCAACCAGCCTTCAAAGGCCACCTCCTGTTAGTATCCAGAGGCGATGGTTATCACTTCTGAAATGTAAATGATTCTTTTACAGTGTTTCACAGCTCACAAGGCACTTGGCATAACAGTCACACACTCCACCTTTGTAAATGTCATCTCTTCTGGTAGGCTTTCATGTTTATCTCTCTTTCATAACCTATTTATATAACAAATAGTTTTCAAGTGACTGAAGGGTATGATCAGCCAATAAGGGAAATGTGGATCTGGTACAGGCCAATGAAAAGTGACTCAGAAATAATGAAATCATTTAAACAAAGAATAAGACACCAAACACACTTCATATTTTGTGTGCTGATTTTTTAATGAACATTTTATAATCTTATAAAATAACTGGTTGTAGCTGTTTTACATTACAATACAGTAGATCAGCTCCTTTCACTGTGTTTCAATCAAACTAACCCCTTGGGTACTAACTGACACACTCAATAGAGATCACACGGAATAGATGAAGTGTCAAGACCAATGTCTTGTAATGTTGGAAAAGGAAGGGAAGAACCAAGGAGACTCTTTACTCGCTGCTTTCTTTGCCAGTATCTTCACATTGTCCTTGCTGACCTCTCTCCTGTATCTGTGATTGAAGGCTGCCATGCTAACTATTGAAGTCAGCCACCCCTGGGCCATGTGGACCTCAGAACTCTAGTTACTAGGAACAAGAAGAAACAGAGAAGTGACTCTAGAACAAAGGAACAGACAGGAGCCTCTGTGAAGGGCCCTGGATGACATTATGGATGTGTAAGAGAGACAAAAATGCAGACAATCTCATGGGGACAAAAGTGAGTTGTCCCTGGGATCTATGGTCATTTTCTTTATTAGGGACTTGAGTTACTCCAAACACTGGGACCCAGGGACAAAGTCTAGACAAGACTGCTGCCGCTGTCTCTAGCTGATTATGGCTAAGTGGCCTTCAGGCTGAGGAGCTTTTTATACACCACAGAAACTGTTCTCTTGCCTTCCCAGGGCAAAGTGAATGTTGCCAAGAAGGAACAAAGTATCTTAAAATGAAGTATGGGATGGAAATGTTCTCTCTGTTACTCTTAATGGACTTAACAAAGAAGCTGAGCATGGACACACATTGGGGAGCACTGTGTACTTGTGAGTATTCATGGGGGACACAGCCTCTCCGCACTGAGTTGTGCCCAAGATAACTATTACCCTGTCTCTGTCTCTGTCTCCTCTGTCCCGATTGCCCAAGGCATCCTAGAATTTGGACGTTTTTCCAAGAAAAGGATTTTATAGTGTGTGTGTGTGTGTGTGTGTGTGTGTGTGTGTGTGTGTGTGTGTGTGTGTGTGTTTAGTAGAGAATCTAAACTTTTCTATTGTTCTTTCTATTTTAAACTTATCAGGATCCAGAAATACATATGAATTGTCTCTCTTGACTCAGGGCACGAAGTGTGCCTCAGACAGTCAACAGTATTTAAGCAACTGTTTACCATATAGCTAAGAACAGAGGCAACAATGGAATTTTGGATGGACAAACTCTGTTGTTCCATGTCTCAGTGACTTCCTTGTCCTCACTCCACTTGCCCATAGGTAAGGATGTGTATATTGCCATATCCACAGTCATTACATAATATTGCTCTTAACGTGTACAGTAGGAGTGGTATGCTGATGATGGTCAATAATGTTTCCTTTCTCCTTTGATAGATTAGTTGCTTCATGGATAATGAAGAATAGGGAGAACAAAAGGAGAGGCTATGGAGATACTGGAAGTGGCTCTGAGTTTTGCCTGGTCTCAGTTTCCACTGAAGAAAAAAATTAGGGGAGACAGAGCTCAGAGCCTTCGTAAGAGGACAAGACCCTTGCTAAACAGGGGAGATGAATCACTTACTGTCTTTCTAGGTCTGATCCAGAAACTGTTGTAAGAAAACACACTTAGAACAGACTCCACGGGAAAGTGTGAGCCTAAGATGGATGGAAACAGAAGAGCTAATGGAACTTTTTTGTATGTAGTCCATATAGCTATTGAACAAAAAATGGCAAAGACAAAATGGACCCTAAATTGCTGAAATTCTTCTTTCTCCCCACAGAGTGTCACCCTCGCTCCACATGTTTCCCAAGCTTGCTTGCTAGGTCACAAACTTTATGCGATGCCACTTGAGTAAGATTTATCTCATTGCTCACAGGATCACCGGGTCTTCCTTTGGAGACTTGGAACAGGCTACTCATTTCATCCTCTTATCCTCAAACCTGTTTTAATATTGACCTCTCACCTCTCTGACAGTCTTTGGCTTTTCCATTCCTCTCTATTCTTTTATCTCTTTTCACCTTTACCCTCTTGAATTTCCAAAGCTTTTTTTTTTTCTCAGAAAATCAACAGTTGGTGATGTGACTGTGAATGATGGCCAGACTTTGGGACATCCAATGAGGAGAGACACCAACTGGCCAAGTATGAAGAGGGTGAAAGTTCCCGTAAGCCTGCTGTTCGGAGGAGCCCCAGTAGAGACTTTTTGGCTGGCTGGCTGACAGCTACCCTTGGACTAGGCACATGGAGAAGTGGAAAAGACCCTGGACTTCACCAACTCTGAGTTCTGAGAAGTGGAGAAGTTTGTATGTTCCTTTTGAGCGATACTTAGAAACCATTGTCTAGTTGTACTAGACCTACTGCCAAATGGGTTCCCTTTTGTAACTTTCCATGCCTCTTGCTCTTAGCACGCCAAATCTATCTCCTTTCAGTAGGCCCAGATCCCAGGTCATAAAGTGATGATCAGCTGACAGTCTAGGATCCAGAATTACATCTACTCTCTCCTCTGCCTATCCAACCTGTCAATTCCTATCAGTAGAAGGAGGGCAAAAGAACCTTTCTTTCTGTCTTTGAAGCTTCAGTATCCATCTGGACATGAACTTCACAGCAGCATGTGTGGAATAATGGATAATTTTTAGCTTGGTAAACAGCAAAATATATAATATATTTATATAATTATGTTTAAATACTTATAAAGACATAGCTAACTTCATTATTTAAGAAAGACTACACAAAAGAAAGGCAAAGGGCCACTTTAGAGCCAATGAGCCGTGCAAGATGACAGTCCATCTGAAATGGGGATTAACAGAGTGTCCCTGGCAGCTCATCTTCTAATATTTTGATGTTGTTTTACACCTCGGGTGGGGCTGAGACCCTGACAGTGTGCAGAGTGGAGAAGAGAGCAGGAGTAAGGAAAGGGTGGAGTGGAGCACAAATGTGGAAGAGGGTCCTGTCTGCCACGTTTCTCCTTCCGTTTCTAATCGATTGTCTTCTTACAGAAACTTTTGCCTAGAATTCCTCCCTATGTGGGCTATGTAGTGCATGAATTGGCACCTACAAATATTCTCTTGCATTTCTTACAGGCTCTCTGTTCTAGGCTCTCCTTCGGCCATGGGACCTGTATTGTTCATTCACCCTTTGCATCCTGCTGCGGGAGCCTCTCTCTCTTAGTCTGCCGCCAGGGCAGAGGAGGGTGGGCTCTGGTCCTAGAGTTACTGATTTTCTTCTGCCTTAGGATCTCGACAGGTGCATTCATCCAGGTCACAGTCAGCAGCAAATGGAATGACCTAGGGGAATGAACAGGAAGTTGAAATCATTTGTGTTTTTGTGCCAAGCTTTTCACTTTTCAGCTGGCTTTAATTTTCTTCACTTGGTCCTACAAGAAGCATAGATTGGGGGTTCACATCATAGACCTGTAATTAATACTGGCTCCTCTTACTATACACTATGTCACTTTAGGCAAGGTAGTCCTTCATTGCTTCCCTTTCTTCATCTATAAGGTAAGAAGACATCAGTTCCACCTTCCAGAGAACATCTGTGTTCTTGGATTAAATGGATGGTAAAACGCATTTATACCTTGCTGTACACCTATAACTATTGTTGGAATAACTCCTAACATTACTGACAATGTCTAGTATGATTGTTTCTGTTGCTGTTGTAATCTTGGTAGCTAGAGAGATGAATGTTAGCACATCTCCTTCTGAGGAAGACTACAACTGACTTAACTCAGAGCAATGGCTGCCACACAGGAAGCTTAGAATCCCTAAATGTTCCATATTTCTGACTTTTGGGACAGTGGGATGGTCTATGTCATCTTCATATGCATGGCTCTTTTACTTTCTTGAGCCTAAGATATACTTCAGGTGGTGAGACATTGCATCTCCCTACCTACTTTGTGTGACTGTTATCTCACTTCTATGTAATTATCCCTCTCCCATTTCAGAGATGACACAGAAAAAGTTGCTTTTTTTTTTCCTGCTTGTATTATTATCGAGAGATAAGCAATTCCTTCGGAGTGTCTATAATTAGAATCAAAGACAATGGGCACTGTTGAGACTCAAGAGTGGTAAATATTCTACCTTTGGGGTACTCATGATTAAATGAGATAAATACAAATGTCACATATTAGTGTAAATATGATGAAGGGATGGGTTTAGAAATTGCACAATTAGATTAGAGAAAGGGTAAGATTATTTGCACATATGAAATAAAATATGATGTAGTAGTCAATAAAGAAGTGAAATGACGTGCATGCCTTTATAATCTCAGTTTTTTTGTATGCTGGCCAGAGGCACTAAAATTCATAGACAAATCCCAGGTTTGCAGAATATGAAATGGAGAGAGAGTTAAATGACTTCTTCCTATGTGGCCATAACTTCCTGTATATAGATAGAGTCCTTGAGTAGCTATTTCCACAAGTAAGTTAGAAAATAGCTGCCTGATCTGATCTCTGATTTATGTCAAAGTTCATGATTTGTTTCTCTTAGCTCAAGATTGATTAGTTATCAGAGGAAGAGAAGCCCAAATTGTTTGGTGATGTGTTGAGTCCTTAAGTACTCCATGTTGTCACCTCATTCATATGAAATGCTGAAGATAGTGCCTGGCACATAGTAAGTGATCAGAGAGGGTCAGAAATTGTATGTGGTACTCTAGTATGTATAGAGCTGATCATGGCTTTATTGTGGAGATAATACAGAGAAGGAAATAACATGAGCATATCTCCAATTCATTGAATTTGCCAACTAGCTTCAAATATCCCCCCGAGCACTTGCATTTTTACTCATAATACTGTAAAATTTCAGCTCAGACATAAGGTGCTAATCTATCAATTTAATGGAGCCAAGAATAACAGGGACAAAGGGTATCAGATAAAGTCATGCTGCAGATCTGATCCAGCGAGTGGTCCAGGTAGCTATTGTAAATACATTTGTACTTACAATAGATCAAAGATAAGTAATAACTAGGGAGTTTTTCATTGGTAGTCTAGAACCTTCAAGGGAAGGAAGACGGTTTTTTGATCTGGGCAACGACAAGCTGGCAGGAGACTTTCAGCAACAAAAGCCATTGTTGTCCTAACGGGTCACTGTATTGGTAATTTAGTAAGCTGTACTCACCACCTCTTCTCCTCATCACGTAATCTCCTAATCACTTCAGAAACTCCAGTGCTTACTCATTGTAGTTCCCACTTAATAACTGTGCCGTGAAGGAGAGCTAGCCAAAGCCCCCCTAATTTCTGGAGCCACACAGCCTTCCCGCCCATCCCAGGTATCCCACTTACCTTCTTGGAAGATAGTGTGGAAGAGCAGCAGTCTCCTCCATCGTAGTGGCAATAGGCCCGGTTATTGATAGTATCACACCAACCATCTGCTTGGAAAGGCTGTGAAGAGATGGAGTCAGTGTCCTGTGTAGCTCCATGGGCCCCATCATTTCCCCTCCCCCCACTTACCTCTAATTAACTCCAGCCCAATTCACAAGATACCCAAAAGACTGTACAAGAGCACTCAAAAGGCAGAACACATCTCAAGAAGTTGAAAAGCCTTGAGAAAAGAGCTTTATGCCCAAGGCACTGTCTAATTTCCTGTCTAGCACCTGCTTCTGGCCTAGTCTAAGGTCTGTTTCTATCATCAAACTTTTTTATCAGTTACTTTAGCTTTCTTGTAATAATCTTTACAGTATGCATATTATACTTTCACATTTTAATTCTGTTAATTATTTTTTAAGCCTGTGTATTGAGCAATGTTGGCTTTATGAGTGAGAAAACAGAAATGCAAATAGATGATAAGATTCTCCCAGATCACATAGCCAGGATCAGGCAGAGCTAGGCATCATTTGTCACATATCTTGCCTTTATGATACTTCTCTTCATCTTTTTGCCCTTCTCCAAAGCCTGGCACTTCTACCCTAGAAGTCCTCAGATTCTATGATGACCTATAAGTTGTCTGTCCAAGGTGAAAGTGGTCCTAGGTTAAGGACACCAGGGTTGAAACAAAAAATATTTCCACATGTAAAGCTAGCTACCTGATGCAGAACAGCTAGATACAGCATTTGAGCAGAGAGAGTTGAACTGTTTCCATACACTCCTGTTACTGCTGTCAGTTAACAGGAACCAAAATGGGAAATGGGCCCAGACTAGATCAGAGTTAATGGACTGTTTCACCCCCAAAGGGAATATGTGATAAGAACAGCTACAGGCAGTTAAAAAACACTTCAGCCAACCAATACATTGCTGCTCCAAAGAGCTACCTCTTGAAGGAAATAGACCACACAGCATCCAAGAGGCTCTATCAGCCAGTTTACCTCCTCTGTAACCCTGACTTACCCTCTCTAGCGCATGCCCAAATGTAAACCCTTAGGAAACATCTCATGGTCAAGCTCTTTGGATTACAGAACTTTGGTGTTCTGAGACCACCTATCAGTTACATGTGAAGATCATTTCACTTCTCCTACCCTCCTTGAATGTCAATTATGAAGACTATTCCATAGTCCACCATGCATTGATAAAATAGATCACTCAGTTCAGTAATGGCCATGAAATAATGTTCAGCAATTGAGTTACATCAGAACAAGCTCATCCCTCGTCCAAGGCATTACTTCAGTGTTTTGATTTATTCTATGGGGTCCGGAGGTCATCTGAACATCTCATTCCAGATGTATACTCGTTCACCAATCACTGAAAAGATGCTGCTTATAGGGTAGACCTTAACTACAGTCACACAGCTGTGTAGCAATGTCAGCTGAGAGCAGGAAGGGACATGAATTCTGTTTGCAACACAGGCCTCTCTAGGAGAAAAAAAAAAACCCAAAGATTCAGAGGTGAACTTTTGTCTTTCACATTAGAGTCAGTTACTTTGGCTCCAGAAAACATGAGATGACTACATGATCAGGCATGGGGGACCAGTTCCATCTTTTAAGATCCCTCAGTCTCCTCTTCCTTTTTCAAGTGTTTAGAGAATAATTGGCCTAATACTAAGATCTGTTACTCTGCCTCCAACCTTGACTAATTAATTGGCGAAACTTGGTGAGCTCCTTTTTTACTGTCTATATTATTTTTATAGTTATAAAAACTCATGAATATCTCTACTTCTCCTGCACATATTAGTGTGCTCTTCAGAATGGAGGGAATGGTAAGTTTGACAATGTTTTCCTTAAAAAAAACAGCTTATACCTTGTGTATGCATGTTTGTATATGTATATGTGTGTCAGTGAATGTATACATGTGTGTGCATGCTTGTGGAGGCAAGAGGACAACTTTAGGTGTCATTTCACAAGTTCCATTCATGTTTTTGTTGTTTTGGGATGAGGTCTAAACATTACCAAGTAGACTAGGCCAGAGAACCTTAGAGATCTGTTTCTGCCTCCCCAGCACTAGGATTGAAAGCATGTACCACAAAACCCAGGTTAGTTTTTGTTGTTGTTTGCTTGTTTTTTGACATGGGTTCAGGGATCAAACTCAGGTCCTTATGCTTGTAAAGTAAGACTATTGCAAACAGAGCCATTTCCCCATCTCCAATCTACACTTTTGAATGGTTTTAGAAAAGAATTCTAGGTAACTGTTCTTTATAACATCTTTACCATGGGTGGCTTCTCATCTCAGGAACATAAGAGAATCCACCATGAAGCAGTCACAGCCTAGATGACCTTCTTTAGGTCTCACTGGTCTTCTCTTGCAATGATTCCCCAAATGATTTCTAAAAGTCGTTTGACTTTAACTCCTAAAGGGTCATGGGGAGAGGGAGGAATTTTTGAAAAGGGGGAAGAAATATAGAGAAATTTTGGAAAGACTCGAGGGTTTAATATACTATATACTTATTAGAATTAATTGTTTCTCCTGTAATGTGCCAACCACTCCACCCTCAACAGAGTCTCCTATGGCAACATGTGCGTGGGAAGATTGACAGTTTGAATCCAAAGCTACAAAGGAAAGAGTGGGAAAGGAAAAATGACAAAATCGATCCAAAGTATGAAAGCATTCAAACAGTCACAGCAGTTGAAGATGTTAGACTCAGTACACTACTCCTCTTTTAAGACTACTTCCAAAGAGAGGGTGCTGGATGTTTTGGTCCTGTGTATAAGGGTACATTTCCCTACCCATATGTGCACTTCATTTACGCCATAAAGTATCCCATGTAAGTGTGTTTTTTAAGCACTTGAAGCTCATTTTGTAGAGGTCATTTTTTGATTCTCATTTTAACTATGCAGACAAAGAAAAAAATCTATAAAATACAGCTACTTATACAACATAAAGTCATCAGTATGAACATTATTTCTTCTCAATGTTCAGGAAGATTCATTTCTTTACTAAATATGCTTTCTCTGGCACATACACATGCCTTTCAGTTGTTACTTAGCATTGAGACAGAAATCCAAGCCTGGAGATCATAGCTAAAGTAAATCCTCAAGTCAAAGACTGTCTGAGTTGTTCTTCTTATGATGCAGTCCCTTTATGTTATCCAATTTTGATTGTTGCAGAAAGGCTTATCTTGTTGGCCTCTTGGTGGTAGCTGGATTGCGAGAAGGTATGGTGATCAGATAAATAATGAATAAGAGTATACTTGGAACACACACACCAGTCTATTCTGTCTGTATAGCTTTGGAATCTTCACTAAATACAATTTGTTCTTTTTTTTTTTTTTTTTTTTTGGTTTTTCGAGACAGGGTTTCTCTGTGTAGCTTTGCGCCTTTTCCTGGAACTCACTTGGTAGCCCAGGCTGGCCTCGAACTCACAGAGATCCACCTGGCTCTGCCTCCCGAGTGCTGGGATTAAAGGCGTGCGCCACCACCGCCCGGCTCAATTTGTTCTTAATAAGTGCTATTATTACAGGAGACTCCTTGTAAACAGAATGAGTTATTATTACTATTGTGTCCAATGACATTTATTGTTTTGCAGCTCTTCCCCCAAAAGATTGAGCCACAGAGATGGTGGTCCTATCTGTCATCTGTGGCTGTAGTCATTCAGCCAACCAGTCAACATTCTTGATTCTATACCTATATTTGTAGGATTCGCTTTCTCTCTCTCTCTCTCTCTCTCTCTCACACACACACACACACACACACACACACACACATATATATATATATATATATGCAGGGACACATATATATGTACATATATGTATGTATGTATGTGTGTGTGTGTGTGTATATATATATATATATATATATATATATATATATATATATATATATATATATATGGTGAAAACATGGCTCCCCCTCTGAAGAAGGTCACTGTTAGTAGTCTCAGTTTGATGGGCTAGCCCAGTGCTGGCATCAAAATGTGGATGAGAAATGACTTGATTCAGATTTAGGTTGGGAGTTGGGGATTTAGCTCAGTGGTAGAATACTTGCCTAGCAAGCACAAGGCCCTGGGTTTGGTCTTCAGCTCTGGGGGAAAAAGGATTCAGATTTAGGGATGAGAGAATCTACCTGGGGGGGCTTCTGCTACATCCTCTGTGGAGAATAACGTAGGACTAGACATTTCTGCAGGGAGGAGGAGTCTGAAAGAGCTGTGAAAGGGGAAGAAAGATAACAATAGGAGAGGCCTCAGTCAGCTTGCCACAGAACCCACCCTCAAGAGAGTTCCACAAACTTTGATTGATAGGCTGGCAACACAACCTTTGTGTGAGCAAGAGCAAGAATTGTTTTCTTCTGCAGCTTGCAATAGAAATTAAGACCACAACTATGTTCTAGGAAGGCAGTTCCTACCACCATCCTCCTGTTCTGCTAATATAAAGGTTGGGCTCTCAACCATAAGGGACTCTCCCTCTGGGAATCTTGGGGGCAGAAATTCCTATTTGATTACAGGGATGACTTAAACCAGGAGTAGACATTAAAGTTTGGCCTGATGCCGAGCACTCTATTCTCTCCCTTGTCATTTCTGAACAAGCCTTCCTGTTACTCAGACGAGAAATCAGAGCACATCAATTTGTTCACATTCATTAGGATGTGTCAGGACTCCAAAGATGCCTCTTTCCAGAGAAGCTATGATGAGACTGAGCTCCATACAGTAGACTGACCTGTAGACCAAATTGCCCCATTCTCTGGATCTTCAATAATGATGGCATTTTGCCTGTCTTCATTCTAAGCCTCACCTTGTACTATGTGGTTTCAACGCTTGTATGTTCCCAGATCATGTTAAAATACAATTGCTATTAAAACAATGTTGAGATGTGAGACTTTTAAGATGGAATTGGGCCATGGGAGAGTTGTCCTCACAAATGGATAAATGCTAGTGTCTCAGCAGAGAGCTCCTTGTAAAAGGGGAGATTGCCTTGGCTGCTTTCTCTTCCCTTAACCACCCTGTCTCCCTCCTTCCCTCATTCATGCCTCACCTTCCATCATTAGATGATAATTTGACCTTAAATATCACAGACTCCA